ATTAATTAACTTTAGTAGGATCACTTCGAATTGACCCGACTTAACTCTGACACAATTTAACTGAGTTCAAATAATTTTGATCTAAATTATATTTGATTCTAGATTGATAGCTTAGAAATTTAAACCCATAAACTTACTCATATAGAATGGATTAAGTTAAATTTTTGGATTGGATCCAATCTAATAAAATCATAGACCTGTGCTCCTGACACGAGACAATCATGATGGCAAGAAATAGGGTTGGGCGTTTGGGCCTGAAACCGTAAAAAAAATCGTGCCCGCCCGCAACCGCAACCGCAACCGGTAGGTCGGGCTTCTTTGGCATTCGGTTAGGCTAGGGCTCGGTTGCGGTTGCGACCGAGAGCCCAAGCGGGCAGTTGTCGGTTCCTAAGCCCAAGAACCGACAACCGCATGAGTAGGTTCAAAAAACCCAACAGCCCAACCTTTTTTTTATTTTTTGTATTTGTATTATGAATATTTTTATATAAATTTTTAGTTTTTCACGATTTTTTCATGCAAGATTTCCGCCTATCATATTTCACTTTTTGATTTCCCACTTTAAATTTTGAATTCTATCATCAATTGATTTTGTTCTTCACCTTACTTTAATATATTTTATTTTTTTTATTGGTATCAACTTTTTCTCCTCCGTTGGATGTAATCATCTAAATTATTAATTCTAATTTAATTATTTATCATCTAATTTATACAATAAATAATAATTATACATTTTTTATAATAAATGTATAAAAAATAATAAAAATTAATATTTATTTTAATATTATTAATACATAAATTATTTTAATTATTTGTTCACCTTTTTTTTCTCATTTCACATCACCACTTACTACTCACCAATCACCACTCTTCACCCTCCCACCGATGGTACTGCAAATTTTCTCTAGTTCTCCTTCTCCTTCTACTTCACTTAAACCCATTTTCTCTAACTCTCCTTCCACTACTCAATAGAGAAAATCTGTAAAACCCAAATAAACTTTCCCACATTTTCACGGAAACCAAACAGCCAGACAATCAAGATCTGTTTGGTTTTTGTGCCCTTTCCCCTTCTGTTTTCCCTTCAGTTTGATTTTTAATAGTATTCTTCTTCTTTTTTTTGGAAGAAAAAACAATGGAAGTGACATATGAGAATGGAAATGGAAGTCTGTCTATGTCGGCAGTGGTGGCGGACCCGTTGAACTGGGCCGTTGTGGCGGAGTCCATGAAGGGTAGCCATTTGGATGACGTGAAGAGAATGGTTGCAGAGTATCGGAAGCCGTTGGTGAGACTAGATGGCGCGACTCTGACTGTGGCTCAAGTGGCGGCGGTGGCCACTCGGGATAACACGGTGGCGGTTGAGCTCTGTAAGGCGGCTAGGGGCGGCGTGAAGGCTAGCAGTGACTGGGTTATAGAGGGCTCTCTAATAGTTCATTCCTATTAGTTTCTTCTCCTAATTTCATTCTTTTTTTTCTAGATCTAGAAATAAAGAATCACTTAGTGATTTTTTCCTCCCTCCCTCTTCTCCATTGTTGTAGTTGCCATTTCCTCCTTCCATCGGCTTTCTCGTACCAGATTCTCTCATCATTCTTCCCTCATCTCCGATATCTAGCTTGCATTTCCACCATTGATAAGCCATTCTGAACAGCGGTTGAAACCCGAAACCGAAACTAAAACAACCGAAACCGCAAAAATTAGAACATTTGAGTGCGGTTTTCGGGTTCTAAAATTAAGAAACTGATATCTTGGTTAACCGGTATCTCGGCTGCGGTTGTAACCGAAACCGCCCGACGCCCACCCTTAGCAAGAAATTGCCACATTGGTGCAAACCTGGCAATAGGTAATGAAATTTAACATGCACATAATATCGTCATTCATTTTAGGTTTTTTTCATTTAAATTGAAAAGATAAAAGCTAAAACTTTTATATTATAAGTTGAAGGGCTGATATGTTATAGTTAATAAGATAAAAGATTAAAACTTTTATATTGACAAATTATAGATTGATCCTCTCGTATTGATTCTCTCATAATCAGTAAGCTAGAGGTTGCCCAAGGATTTTCGCCCGGGACAAAAAGAAAGGTGCAAAATGAGTATACAAAGTGATCAATAATTGAACCACAGCGGTATATTATAAATTTATAACACACAAAAGAAGGCATTTTTTTGATGGACATAAAAAAGAAGTCTTAGTGGAAAACCATACCATTAAAAGAAGAACCATGAAAATTACCATTCGCCAACTACAATTGGACACCTGACCTGAAATTCACGTCTCAAACATGTAAAGGTTGGGCCTCGGTTGTGGGCCATAGAAACGTAGTTATGAAATCATCAGATTACTCATAACCTCTGTTTAATGGGAGGGAATGGGAGTAAAGGTGAGAGAAGAAGGGACGCTATCTTTCCATTTTCTTTTGTTTTTCTCCTTTGGTTGGCTTAATACTTCAAGAAGAGGGTGAATTGGAGTTTAAAATTTTTCCTCTTCTATCCACCAGCAAGTGAAAAATGTGCAGTAGAGTTATAAAATTATCATATTACTCCTAACCTTCAATCCATTCGGCTCTCGAAGAATCATCTCTCTGGAGAGATTTTAGATTCTTTCCACAACATTTCTTCATTAATCTATTTATCTCTAACCCAAAACAACCTCACAGGCAACCTACCAAATGAAATAGGCGAAGCTTTCCCAAATCTCAGACAACTTTTTCCAGCACAGAACAACTTCTAAGGAACCATACCAATTTCTATAACAAATTCTTCTATAATTGAATTCCTTGATCTGTCTAAAAACAGATTTCATAGGCCAATTCCACTGTTTGGCAACATGAAAAATCTCATCAGGTTGGACATTGGCCAAAATAATCTCCTTTCTTCTACACCAAGGAATCTTCAGTTGATTGTATTCTGTGGCAAACTGTACTCAGCTCGAGTATCTAATGATTTACACCAACCAGCTTTATGGGGAATTTCCATCCTCAGTTGCAAATCTTTTTGACAATCTCCAACATTTTTGCTGTTTAAACAATTTCTTGACCGGAACCTCATTTCTGTGTATATAGAGAGAAATCCTTTTACAATTGAGATCCCTAGGACCATAGCAAAACTTAGATATCTGTAAAGTTTTTGGAGCTTACCAGATAATGTTTTCTGGGAATATTCTGGATGTCTTTGGCAATTTTTCTCAACTTTCTGATCTCAAGATAGGAATTAACCAATTTTCTGGGAAAATCCCACCTAGTCTAGGGGAATGTCAAGTTGTCAACAGCTCAAGACCTTGGACCTACCTGAGAACAGGCTTACTGGAAGCATACCAACAAAAATATTCAGGTTTTCCAGTTTGACCAACTTGTATCTGGGATAAAACCTTCTAGGTGGTTTTATCCCCAGTGAAGTAGGTAACTTGAAAGAGCTTGAATATTTGACATTTCTGGTAATCATTTATCAGAAAATTTAACTTTATCCATTGGAGACTGTTCTTCTCTAAGGTTATTTATCCTGGCAAAAAACAACCTTAGTGGTCAAATTCCAGGTTCACTCCGGAAGCTAACATCAATGGAGATTTTGGATCTTTCCTCTAACAAATTTCCTAGGAAAATCCCATTAGACTCGGAAAATCTTCAATATCTGAGGAAATTAAATCTGTTATTCAATCATTTGGAAGGAGAAGTTCCAACAAGAAAAATCTTCTCAAATGTCAGCTCATTTTCTCTCCAAGGAAACAGTGAACTCTGTAGCTCCCATCAAGAAATTGCAAGAAATTCGGGAGTTTCTCCATGTAAAACCAAGAGAACAAGTAGAAAGAACATGCTCAAGATTCCAGTTTCAGCAGTAGGGGCTACTTTGTTTATCATTGTGATGTTATGCCTTTTTTGTGCATGGATATGCAGGAGGAAGAAAAACAAGGAGAACAAAAGCAATATAGCTTCTCCTTTGAAGGGTTTTCCTTTGATCATATCTTACTCTAATATCCACCATGCTACAAGCAACTTTTCAGCTGAAAATTTGATTGGAAAAGGAGGTTTTGGTTCTGCTTACAAAGCTGTGTTGATAACACTACCTTAGCGATGAAGGTACTTGACCTGCAAGCGAGCAGAGCTTTCAAAAGTTTTCTAACAGAATGTGAAGCCTTGAGAAATATCAGATATAGAAATGTTGTCAAGGTCATTACCTCATGGTTGAGCATCGATCACAAGGGAGATGAATTCAAAGCACCAATTGTGAAGTTCATGCCCAATGGAAACACGGATAGGTGGCCGCATCTTGTGCCAAAAGATGTCGAATCAAGTTTATGCTAGACTCTGCTGCAAAGGCTGAATATTGCCATAGATATGCTTCTGCAATGGATTATCTGCACAATGACTGCAATCCACCAGTAGTACATTGTGACTTGAAACCTGAAAACGTTCTTCTGGATGAAGACTTGACTGCTCATGTTGGGGATTTTGGATTGGCAAGGTTTATTTTCGAAAATCTATCATAGGGCAAAAGCATCACAATCGGACTGAAAAGTTCAATTGGTTCAACTGCTCCAGGTAAACTAAACCACCACCCTTGCCTAATTCATTTTCTTATTCAAAAAAAAATTATTGTTGGTTCACACTTCTAAATTTTCTTCTTCTCTTTTTTTTCTTCTTCTTTTTTTTTTTTTTAACAGAGTATGGTCTAGGAGGCAAAGCATCAACGAGTGGAGATGTGCACAGTTTTGGGATCCTTCTACTTGAGATATTCATTGCAAAGAAACCAACAGATGCGATGTTTAAAGAAGGATCAAACCTCAATGAATTTGCATTTGCAACGACTCTTGACGGCCAAGCTTTGAACCACATTATTGATCCCAGGCTGCTTAAGAACATTACCGATGGAAGTCCAATGCAAAGCTTGGGCATTACTTCCTCTAGCAGCAGCAGCAATAGCAATCGTACTAGCCACAGTTGTAGGATGGAAAAATATAAAGAGAGTTTAGGAGCAGTAATAAGAGCTGGTTTGGCTTATGCGCGCAGCTCAAAATGCAAGAGATCGTTTATCCATCAGAGAGGCCCTGGCGAAGTTACTACAGATTAAGAAATCTTTGCTCCGCTCTTGAAAATGGGCAGGCAGCAATGGTGTGTGTAGTCACAGTTGTCCAATCAGGGTCATGGGTAGTTTGAACTACACTAATCTATATTTCTAGATATCAAGTTGCGATAACATGATGTAATGTTATTTTTATATCTAGCAGAAGTTATATTAGGCTTAGTTTTCTATTTCTATTAGGATTTGATTAGTTTTCTGTTTCCTTTAAGATAAATATCTAGCGTTAAATGTGATCTTAGGAGTGGCTGCACAAGAATAATAAATGTAAGAAAGGCATACAACCAATGTTCTTGGGCCCGACCCGATGGTTGGTCCTTTTTAACCACTAGGTCTAGTTCACCTGATCGGTTTAATCAGTCAATTAAAAAAAAAAATTTTTGACATTTTTATTGAATTTTACTTTTGTATATTACCTTCACTCTATTTTTAAAAAATAATTATCATAAAATCAACTTAAAAATTCGTCATTTAACTAATTTAAAATAATAAATTTAATTAAATACAAATAATTTTTAAATCAAAACTAATAAATATTAAAATTCATAATATAAAATAAATTCACTAAGTATGATAATAATGAAAAACTCAATCTTAAACTAAATTTATTACAAAATAAATACTAAATATAAAAGAAAATCTCAAATCAAAACCACAAATCCACTACAAAATAATAAGTCTTGAATATATAAAAAAAAAATCTCAAACCAAATCCATAACAAAAATAAATGTTAACAGAGGAGAGATGCTGCAGAGGAGATGAGGAAAATTCTGATTTCTGCTGCTACTTTTGGTCGATGGAGCAGGAGAAGAAGGCAGCAGTAGAGGAGATGAGGAGTAGAAGGCAGTTGCTGTTTAGTGGACGAGGAAGATTCTGATTTCTGTTGCTGCTTCTGTTCGGTGGCGCAAGAGAAGAAGGGCAGTGACAAAGGAGATGAGGAAGAGAAGGAGGGCAGCGATGGGGGAGATGATCTGTTCTGTAACAGTGTAACTTTTTTTCTGCTTTGCTGTTTCAATTCAGTGAAGTAAGGAGGAGGTGATTGGCAATCAACAGAGGAGATGAGGTAGACGAAGAGATCTGAACAGAACAAATGAGGCAGATGAGGTAGATGAAGATGATCGACAAAAGAGAAGAAGCGCAGCGATGAAGGAGATGATCCGCAGACAATTGACGAAAGAGAAGATCTATTCTTCTGCAGTTCTGTTGGTTTTCTGGGTTTTGCATTTGTTTCCCACTTTCCCAATTCTTAGGGTTTTTACTTTTTAGCTTAATTGCTTTTTAATTTAAGTTAAAAACTTAAAATTAAAAAGTTAAAAAACTTTAAAAAAGATGATGAAATTCAGCCCGGCAAGTTGTAGCAAGTCACATGGATTCAGCGGGCGTGACGGGTGGGACGAGTTTTAACGAGTCATTGAACTAAACGAGTTGAAGTCTTCAACTGACCTGTTTTCAAACCTAGGTCCGGTTCAACCGGCCGAGCTGGGCTAGGTCCAAAAACATTGCATACAACTACAAAAGTTCAAACACAGAATAGAATACAGAACATTTCTATTGAAGAATAAAGAAAGAGGGAATTTGGTTC